TACACTCAATTTTCCCTAAACCTTGACCCTTCCCATCCTGATTTACCATATAATCATTATAAAAAATAGAATTCATAAAACAAAAATTTTACACTTGCTTCATTATTTTCAGTGCATACATTTTGATTTTTAAAAATTTTTGAAATATTACTATTCCATATTACTGAGTTTCTGGCAGATCCATATGTTTTGAACCTACGATAGTGCCTCAAGTCCTGATTTTAAACATTTGAATTGGACATAAATTTAAATGAATAGAGAACTAGGGCTTTAAAAGCAATAACTATAACATTAATCATTGAAAATTTTTAATTTTTTTAAAATTTATTTATTTTTATTGGAAAGCCAGATTTACAAAAAGGAAGAAACACACAGAGAAAGATCTTCTGTCTGCTGACTCATTGCCCAAGGGGCTTCAATGGCCAGAGATGAGCTGATCCAAAGCCAGGAGCCAGAAGCCTCTTATTCGGGGTCTCCCACATGAGTGCAGGGTCTCAAGGTTTTGGACCATCCTCCACTGCTTTCCTAGACCACAAGCAGGGAGCTGAAAGGGAAGTAAAGCAGCTGGGACATGAACCGGAGCCCATATGGGATTCCAGCACATGTAAGACAAGGACTTCAGCCACTAAGCTACAGTGCCTGGCCCTATGTGATATCTTACTAAGTACCCTGGCACTTGAGGAATTTAGGAATGACTCTCATTTCTACTTGAATAGACAAAAAGTCAAAAACTAAGTTGATTGGTCCAACACTATGGCATAGAGGGTTAAGCTATCACTAGCAGCAGCAACAACCCATATGGGCACCAGTTTGATTTCCAGCTACTCTACTTCCTATCCAGCTCCCTGCTAATGTGTCTTGGAAAGCAGCAGAAGTGGTCTAAGTGGTTAGATTCCTGTAATAATGTGGGAGATCCAGAAGAACTTCCTGGCTCCTGCTTTTGTGTTAGTCATCTTCAACTATTACAGCCATTTGAAGAATGAACTAGTGGATTAAAAAAAAAAACTATCTGTCTTTCTCTTTTTCCACTACTCTCTCTCTTTCTCTCTCTCTTACTCTCTATCTCTGAAATTCTGCTTCTCAGATAAATAAAAAAATCTTTGCCATATATTGTTTTAGGTCAACGTTAGTAATGAAGTGGGAAATCATTGGCTAGAGGGTAGTCTTTCATTTAATGGCCTTTCTATAGCACTTACTACATGACAAACATCACTGCACGTGCATTGCAATGGTTGACTCAAATCTTTTCAACAGCATCTCTGAAGTTCTAATACCATCTGCCTTTTACATATAAGGAAATTCTTTATTTCAATAAAATCCAGAGCCCATTATTCTACTGGTATCTTATACAAAAGTAACATAACAAAAGGAAAGGAAACATTGTACTTAAGACTTACAGGAATATCATATATATGTAATAAATCATTATGAGAATGATGAATAAATATATCTGTAAAACTTACTCAAGTCTTCATTTAAATGTTAAAAAAAAAAAAAACAGGAACTCAAAACTACAGCAGATAGAGCCAAAAATGCTGGCTAAATCAATTCTATTTTCCCACCATAATAAATTATTGTATAGTTATATTTTTTGGTCTTCCTTTTTGTTTTGTATCTTTGTAGCCACACACCTAACACAGTCCTTGCACCTAACAGGACTTCAGAAAATTGTGGGGGAAGAAATGCATGCATCCATTTCTCCCTTTTACATAAAATAGCTGTTGAATATATGAATAACCCAATAACACATTGTGGCCTCCAAAAACAGGAACCCCTAATTTAATACCCTGTGGACTGCCATCTTCAACAAACAAATATGAGTAACGTCCTTAATATGCTCCAATTTTGAAGATCTTATTTTGCTTCGTTTTCTTAAGGATTTATTTGTTTTTATAAGAAAAGCAGAATCACAGAGAAAAGAAAACACAGAGAGGAAGGTCCTGCATTTGCTGGCCAGTCCCCAAGTGGCCACAATGGCTGGATGAGCGAATCTGAAGCCAGGAGCCAGGAGCCAGGAGCTTCTTCAGGGCTCCCTTGCAGGTGCAGGGGTGTAGAAGGACAATCTCTCATTAAAAAAAAAAAATATATATATATATATATATATATATATGTTTATATATATATATCCAATTGGACCTTGTGCTATGGCCTAGAGGCTGAAGTCCTCACCTTGAACGCACCAGGATCCCATATTGGCACTGGTTCTAACCCCAGCCGGCCCCACTTCCAATCCAGCTCCCAGCTGTGGTCTGGAAACGCAGTTGAGGATGGCCCAAAGCCTTGGGACCCTGCACCCATGTGGGAGATCTGAAACAGGTTCTGGGCTCCTGGCTTCAGATCGGTGCAGCTCTGGCCATTGCGATTGCCTGGGGAATTAGTCATCGGATGAAAGATCTTCCTCTCTGTCTCTCCTTCCCTCTATATCTAACCTTACAAAAAAAATTTTTTAAGCAATATCCAATCAATTGTTCTTAATCAAATGATATCCAACAAATTGTTCTCATACAAATGATATCCATTCAATTGTCCTACGATGAGGGTGCCAAGGCTTTGGGTCATTCTCCACTGTATTCCCAGACCACAAGAAGGCAGCAGATTGGGAAGCTGAGACACCAACCTTCACCCATATAGAATTCCAGCATGTGCAAGGTGAAAATCTAGCCATTGCGCCGTCACATCAAGTCCATATTTTGCTTCTTTTTAAAGATGATTATTTATTTGAAAGTAGTGTTTCAGAGAGAGGAAAGACAAAGATATTTCGATATCTGGTTCATTCCCCAGTGACTGAAATGGCCAGGCTGATCAAGGCCAAAGCCAGGAATTTAAAACTCCATCCTAGTCTCCCACATAGGTGACAAGCACCCAGGTATTTAGGCCATTTTTCACTGCTTTCCCAGGCACATTAGCATGAAAGTGTATTAGACATGTAGCAGGACTCAAAATGATACCCATAATGGGATGCCACTTTTGCAAGTGATGGCTTAATCTAAACCCATTGTACCACAATGCCAGCTGCCAGCCCTTTCTTTTGCATCTAAAGCAGAAATACTCATTAAAAAAAAAACTGTCTTTGTTTCTACTAAAACAAACACATCCATCATAATGTAAATAATTAATCGGTGACATTTTGAATTTTCAGACACAAAATTTTATTTTTAAAGCACATTAATATTTATACATTCTAAAATAATTCTTACCAAAATTTCCCAAAGTTCATCATAAGAAATCACATAAATTTCAGCTAGAGATTCTATCTAGAACTGAAGGGAGGCAACTGAAAAACTTTCAGGAGAACAGAAATGACCTGGAGTGTTGCTCTGGTGTTTCCACATCTCTTAACAGCAATTTGAGGGGTTACCAGAATGAGGAAAGAATGATAGTAAAATGCTCCATAAAGCACCACTTATTGTTCAGGACAAAATTCTATTGAGAGCTGAGTGATCTGATATTAAACCCTTCCTATGCACAGATATAAAAAGTAGTTTTGTACATATCAGAGAGGAACCTCAATGTTGATTAGTGAAACAACAAAACAAAATAAATTCTGCCAGAAAACCTAATCAGAAAATAGGTTTTCTTGTAAAGTGTGATAACCATTCCTATGTTCACATAATTACATGGCTTAGACACAGCAGACATTTTAGTAAATTTTTACCATGTTTCCTAGATATTTAAGACTTAGGGTAATGTCTTCAACATAGCTGTTAATTTTTCTGAAACTTTGTGGCGTGATACTCACATACTCCTGTAATTAGTTTTCTGGGAATGAAGAACATTGTCAGAATGGTAGCCCTGTGGGAAAAAATGCATTATATACTCAATCACTTTTTATTATGCATGATATGGTTTAAATCCAATCAGGGTCTCTATTTTACTCACTGCTGTATCACTAGCATTTAGGACAATGCCTGGAAAATTAAAGAAACTCAGCACATTTTTGTCATACAAAAACAAATTGTTGTGGATTGATCTGTACATAAGCTGAAGAATGTTCTCCAGCACAACACTGAAAACTGTTGAGATTTTGTTCATCTTACTTGCAGCTGCAATTTTCTATCCCTTCCCAATGTCCCTGTCCAACTCACTTTACTCCTTTTGGGTATCTAATATTAAAAGTTACACTGATATCCAGGAACTAAGGATGACACTTTAGATTTTCACAAGAATGTTATAAATTAAGTAATATTGTAATTCTTTGACTAATGAGACAACTGAGTTACACACAGAAAAGTATGTGGTGGCAATAGAAAAAGTGTAGCTTCAAATGCCTCTTTCAAAATCCCTAACCTCATTACCTTACCTCCGTGCCCCCAAATTTCTCAACGTTGCTGAGCCAGCCTGCCATTATACAATGACCATTTAATCCACAGTTTTCAAAGTGGCAGTTTCAAAATCTAAGCAGGATATTGTTTCTAAATTTGTCAAAGTACCCTCAATAAACAGGGGCAATTCAAAGCAAGTTTTACAATGGGTATAATAAAGTTCATTATGTATCTTCATATAATCTGAAATGAGACACAATAAATTTGTCATACACCTTGATTTTAAAACAGAAAATTTTATTTCTCTACTGATACTGCCCCTAAATGTCTCTACAAATTTAAGTCATCTGAATGCAAAAAGACATCATTAAAAATGAAACTGCTTTTGGGCTCAGCACGGTGGCTCAATGGTTAAGGTCCTCACCTTGCACGCCAGGGATCCCATATGGGCGCCGGTTCTAATCCCAGCAGCTCCACTTCCCATCCAGCTCCCTGTCTGTGGCCCGGGAGAGCAGTCAAGGACGGCCCAAGGCTTTGGGACCCTGCACCCACATGGGAGACCCGGAAGAGGCTCCTGGCTTCGAATGGGCATAGCATCGGCCGTTGCGCTCACTTGGGGAGTGAATCATCAGACGGAAGATCTTTCTCTCTGTCTCTCCTCTCTGTATATCCGCCTTTCCAATAAAAATTAAAACATAAATCTTTAAAAAAAAAATGAAACTGTAGAATAACACACGATGCATAGAAACGTTTACTGACCAAACCCCCAAAAGATACAAGAATTTCTTCCACAGTGATCATTCAAGTCAAATATTACTGAAGTCAACTCATGCCATTTTGCTTTTTAGTGCCTTAAAAATTTCCCCTACTTGTTGCAAATTTGTTTTATTAGGAATTCTGCACAGAGCATTAAAACATTAAATTACATAATCTAACAATTTGTAAAAACTAACATTAGCAATAATTGTTACCTCAATGATTTCTGAATGATGTGATCATTTCATAGCAATGAGTGTGTGCTTTGTTTCAGCATTTGCACTTCTAACATACAATCATTTATTCTTTAACCTTAAATATCCTTACCTGATAAACAGCAATAATTTCTTAGGTGTAATATCTGCATTTTATAGCATATCCCCATTCTTTGGCACGTCAGGCAAACTTGTCTTACAAGTTTACTTAAAAGGAGATTTTCTACGTAAAAGGTTTGTTTTTTCACATGAAGTCATTCCAGACACAGGGATGCTGAAGTCCACTCTCCTCAGCCTATGGTTGCTCAATGTGCATCAACAGAAACTCCCTTCTTTGACCAACACTTGAGCTTCTTCTGATTCTTCTGCTGCACACAACAAAGCAGGGCTTAGCTCTCTGTTCTTACAGCATCCACATGAGCAAGAACCGGCTAAGTCAGTTTAAGGACAGTCTCCTACTCTATCTGAACACCATTGATTGTTCATCACAGTAGCCTATCATCAGCAATAATGCTATAAAGTTTGTTACCAAAACTATCCTTATCTTTGTGGTTTCTTCCTGGTAATTTCCCATATACAGACCCCTCATCCTGTTTTTCGGTCACAAATCCTACTTGTCCAATCTCTCCCACTGCAAGATCCCACTGCAATGGTTCCAGGATCTATCATCATGTCATCATCTTGAATCAAGTCTGCTTTAATTTCTTTAACAAGGGTCATGAACAATGCTTTTTCTTTAACAGTCTTCCCTGGGAGACCTAAGTAGAGGGGCATACAATCTTATTTTCCCTTAAATACCCGCCATCCCTTCCTTTCTTCTACTTTAATGCTTGTAGTTGATCTGAAAATAGAAAACCACTTGAGTCACTGGCAAGTACTAAAGACAAGCTCACTAAATAAAAAAAAGCTGATTGTTACCTTCTGTCAGAATATCATGACAAAGTAAATGTTACCACTGAATCTTAGAGTATCTTTTCCAGGAATATTTATAGCTTTCAATGTATTTCAACAATTATTTAATAGCCACCATGCATCAGACTAGGACTGAAATCTATTGTAATGCAAATGCAAAAAATGCACAACTTGAGCCATCCTCATTCTTAGGAGCACCAAAGAGTCAGAGAATGAAGAAAATTAGACCATACATGTCTGAAGATGATTTATAGAGTCACAATTGGCCCTGACAAGATCATGATGTTTTCCCAAGAATAGATAGTACAAGTAAACCTCAGTTTCCAAATGATATGGAAACAGCTTGAATATCTGCCTACATGTGAGGTCCTGTCAAGAACATATAAAATGTCTGAAAATCCTCCTATCAAGAACACTTAATGCTACTTCTCATGTGACATACCAGGATGGAGCTTTTGCCTTCTGAATTCAGGACTGGTCCAGACATGGCAGCTGTTATAGTCATTTGTGCACTGAAGTAACAAATGAAAGATATTCTCTCTCTCTCTCTCTCTCTCTCTCTCTCTCTTTTCCTCTTTCTCTTTCTCTCTGTTTATTGCTCTACCTTTCACATAAATACTTCATCATATTTAAAGGAAATTAATTTGCTTTATTGAATAAATGGCAATTTGTAAGAGAATATAAATTAAGCATGAATGTACTTTCAAGTATTTGTGGAATCTGAGATTTAGGACAAGTTTATTTCGTTGCAAAATTTTTGAAATCCATGAATAGCTTTTTTACAATACATATTTTCATTAACATTGTAAAGACCTCTTCATACAATAACACAAAGGAAAATATGATATCTATACCCAACCACCATTCTCTTCAATGGTAGTTCAAATACATACAATGCAGTAAGTATTTAGAATGTTATAAATATCTACCTTTGGGAACAAAAAATAAAATATGGAAATAGGTTTCCCTACTGAGCAGTTCACAAAGATTTCAACAATAATTTCCACAAACTCATCCAAGAAACAGCGCCATGTTCTATTTTCTCTGAACACAAATTGAAATGCCACTACCTATGCTTCATATAATATTGTTTGAGGCACTCTGTATAGGACATGCTATCAAGATTCATAATTGCACAAATTTGAAAGGCTTTACATGTGCTATCACAAACTACACTACTATCATAACTCACAAAGAAATAATTGTAGTATTTCACAAACTGCTTACTATCTAGAGATGCAAATTCTTTAGCTAATCTGTATAAATTTTTAGGATGTAAGTCTTCAATGCCATAGGTGTGGGTCAGGACATACTCCAACTTCCAGTTGGATTCTTCTTTTAGATTTGCCTCTGTCAGGTTCAGGTAATACTGCAACATGTCCTACAGGCAAAAATAATAATGAACTCAGTTCATTTTTCAACACATAAGGTATAATAGGGTAAGAAAAAAGCTTATTAAGATTTATAAGACATTTTTACTATCTAGTTGTCATTATTAATTAGTTTTGAAGAAAAATACTTGATGACAAACTCTGTATAATTTACAATTGTTCAAAAGGATGAAAATGTATAAAATTAAATGATCCAAACTATATAGACAGACATACCGAATAAAAGTCTGTCATTCACACATCTCAGGGTAACAATCGCTAAAGGAAGTTAATAAACCATCAATGTTCTAGAGACATCTAAAATCAGTTCACAAAATCTAATTTTTACATTTTCAAAAATACAATGTCAACTGATGCCACTTACTCTAAAACTGTCCACAATGCAGTATTTCTACAACGGAAATCAGCAAACTACAAATCAAAGCACTGTTTTTCCAAGCAAGCCATTTGGTTAAAAATTTACCGAGCTAAGAAGCCGTTGAACTTATCTGGACAATAAGATGCTGGTCTCTATATTTGGTATATGCTTGCAATGACGGAATCTCAACTGAACTTGCACTGTGGTTATGCAACAAGGTGGAGGAATCTACCATGGAGGGAGGGTTAGGGGAGGGGTGGGGGAAATCCCAGTGGCTATAAAACTGTGTCACATAATGCAATATGTAACTAATAAAAAAATCCCGTAAAAAAATTTCACCAAGAAACCCAGTATATTTCTAGACTACATGTATAATATTTATAATATATACACCTACTTACTATTCTAGATTTTTAATAAATAGTATACCACATGCCTTTTAGTTTTAAACCATTTAGTGTCCTATTTGGAAAACATTTCTAGATTTTTTTTCATCAGAACAAATATGCATAGTTCTAAATGACTATATACGTACATGCACATACATATTGACATCTCTATTTGCATGTCTTAAGTACAGATAAAGAAACAGACAACTAACTTTGAACTAATTTATAATTTTTAAATTTTCTAGTAGCTTAAATCAGATTTCTGTTGCACTACTTGATTGCTTTGTTATTCTGAGGAATAGAACAGCCATCTTTTTCTAACACCTACTTAGAACAATAAAAAGCAATTGCATCAACATCAGGCTTAATGGAGGTTTATCTTCTTCTAATTATACTTAAAAAGGGCTGGGTATTTTCTATAGGGAAATTCCCACAAGTTAATGGCCAGCCTATTGGGGCTAAAATCTTCTAAAGCAAAGAGACATTAATATAATCACCAGTTAGTTGCTTTTCCTTTTAGTAATGTGTTCTCATTTAACAACAAATCACAAATCACAACACAGTAACTGCAATATAGTCCAACAAAGTTCTAGTTTGGAGAAGAGTAATTAAAAGAGTAAATAAATATGTATATTTATGTACATAAATATACAAATGTACAATATGTGTACAAATTTACAAATATGACATTGCATTTGACAAAGTTTATTATAAGTAAAAGCAAAGTCCTCAGGAGGACAGAAATGGCTCCCACCAGCGACCTTTATCAGCCCACATTCAGAAAGTGCTGACAAACCTTCAAAATATGAAAAGCAACATCATGAGATTGAACATAAAATTCATTTCACACACAGCTACCAAGAAACATTCAACCAACAAGTGACAACTGCGATTACATGCATAAACATGGGAGACTGTGTCAACTTACCAACAATTTATAGTCATGAGGATCATACTGAAATAGTCTGATCCCAGGATTATTGGTCTCTTTTTCTAGAATACTCTTCACTGGGGTCACAGCAGGAGCCACAAACAAAGAATTTACAGGGCTTCCTAGACAAACATATGCACATTAACATACATATTTCCAAAAAAAATTGAGTTTAATTATGTTAAAAATAGGAACAGTCTATCAGTTGGGATGCCATGTCCCACGTAAGAGTACTTGATTTGACCCTTTGCTTCTGACTGCAGCACGCACACCTGAGAGGCAGATGATGACCAAATCACTGGGTTTCTGTTACCCGTGTGAGTGGCCTGGATTGGGGTCCTTGCTGTTACTGGTATTTGGGAAGTGAGTCAGTGGAAAGGAGCTTTATTTCTGTCCATCTGTCTCTTCTCCCTCTCAAATTAATAATATAAATACAATTTTAAAAAATAAATAAGAATTTAAAATGTATGCCAAAGATATTAAAATATATAACAACCAATTGTTGCATCATTGTTGATGAAGCCTGATTTAAAAGAAATATAAAGGAACATTTTTTAGAAAATAGGTGAATTTTATTATTGATATCAAAGAATCCATGTTAGCCATATCAGATAAATCAGTGATACTACAGTTATCTAAATTGTACATATTTACTATAATGAATTACTAAATACCCATTATATTATAATAAAGATAGAAGTCTATAGGAATGAAAGACATCTGATTTTTGAGATTCACTTTCAAATACAGTAAGGAAAAAGAAACAGAACAAAGGAAGTGATAGGCAAGGCAAATATGGGAAAGTCTTGCTAGATTCTAAAGATGAGAGATGAGTATATGGGGGTTTGTTGCAATGTTCTCTCTGCTTCTACATGCATTTGAAACATTGCCATAAGAAAAAACTTTCGCAACACTGAATATAAAACTTATATGTCTCTATTATACAATGTCATAATAGGGATTCAATTAAAAGGTTGTGACATATTATTTCTGTCTACTATTGACATAAATTTCTCTCTGAATTAAGAAAACCCACTAAATCCTAAAATGTGGTCATTCTTAGTAGACCTACTTATGAGAAGAAATGCCCAAACTACTGAATAGAAAGCATATTAATCTTTCCTTCTATCTGACTGAACTCGGCACTCTTATCTTTTTAACTCTCAGTTTCTTGTTAAAGTTTCTTCTATTTCTCTTTTTCAATGTGCAGTTGAAAGTATAGTGGGAGCATACTTCAAAAATTTGTGTTAGGCCTGGAGAGTACCCTAGTGACTAAAGTCCTCACCTTGTACACGCCAGGATCCCATATGGGCACCGGTTCATACCCTGGCAGCCCTGTTTGTGGCCTGGGAAAGCAGAAGAGAACAACCCAAAGCCTTGGGACCCTGAATCAACGAGGGAGACCCAGAAGAAGCTCTTGGCTCCTGGCTTTGGATTGGCTCAGCTCTGGCCATTGTGGCCACTTGAGGAGTCAATCAGACGACAGATGATCTTCCTCTCTCTCTCTCTCTCTCTCTCTCTCTCTCTCCCCTCCTAAAGACTTCCTATCTGACTTTCCAGGGAAAAATAAATAAATCTTAAAACAATTTGTGAAAGATGGAACTATGATACCCCCCTGTACTCACCTCTCATCTTTAGAATCTACCAATATTTTTCCACTTTTGTCTTACCTATCACATTTTGGAGGCCTAATTTTATCACGTGGACACTCATGTAACAAACAACTCCTGAGGACAACTTAGAAAATGATAGTGCTATGAGTATTTTAATGAAATGTTTCATTTACTAATTCAGCTAGTTTATTGGACTTCCACTGTGTTGCTTTAGCATCTTAAGCTGAGGAAATGCTAACAGAACCTTCACATTACCGTTCTTATCTGAAAGAATCATAATGCTGTCCCTGTGAGTGTGTCCATAAAATTGTCCTACAATGACATCGCTGTATCTTCTGAAAATATCTACCAATCTCTCGTTATAGTATTCTCTCATGGCTGTGATGCTCCGAGAAAAAGGCAGATATCCCACTGGAACATGCGCTATGATGTACACCTAGAAAAAAGGAACACAACGAGGATGCATGCCAGTCTTCCTTGTGCATTCATCATAAGTGGATGACATTTAGATACCCAAAAGATCAAGCTGGTTAATTAAAATAGAAAACAAATATACCCTAATTAATGATGCTAAAGGAATGAAGTTTTCAAACCATTTGTACTTTTCTCATTTATACAACACTGTTGATTCATAAGGCAAGTGTAATATTGACTATGATTTCCTAAATTGGTGTCTTTTTATATCAATCAATAATAATTAGGCTGCAAAGCATTAAAAGCAAACCAAAATAAGGCAACAGAAATAATTCATATGTTTCATGTAAAAATGTTTTCAACTTTTAGTACTTTTGTTACATTTTAGTACATGGTACTGCCCCCACATTCAAAAACACACAAATTTAGCCTTCCGTTTATCCCCTACATGCTTTTAATATGTGAATCCTACCTTCTCTCCATTTATCTGTGAGTTGTTCAGTGTATTTTCCAACCATTCAAACTGATTTGCTGGGTCAGTCTTGTTCAAAGTCACCACATTGGGGCTGTAGTATAAGTTTGTGTTTAGACTGATGATCCTAAGGTTAGTTGTGGCTTTCTGTGTATAAAAACCACCTATAGAAAAAAAAAATATTAAAATATACTTTAGGAAAACACAGACACAAACATCACAGACATATTGAAAGTAAATTGCTAAAGTTTACAATCAGGTCTGGAAACTTGAATTTATTTTTTATTGTTTGGTTGTGGCATAAGAAACTGTCATTAGATAAGAATCAGTTTTAACAAATAGTTTTTTGAGAACCTAATATGTACCAGCTCCAACATGCGCATGTTTAGGTTAATAATAATTGTATACAATATTCAGATAAGAAGGTAATCAAATATTTGGGAGGTAAGTAGTGAGACTACATTTTATAAAATAAATGTTCACATCAATTCCTGCTTTTATATATTACGGGAGTTAAGATGACAGACATTGAAAAACATAAAATATAATCAACAGGGACACAAAAGATTTTGCTAAAAAGCAGGGAGAAAGGCACGCTATGACCGGAAGACGCTCCAAGGCCTGTTCCCACTCCCACTCCTGTACATGCAGCAATGGCACTATCAGAGCTGGCCACTGAGATCAGGGCCCTGTGCCCACACACCAGACATGATCCTCCTGCATTTTCAATCATACTGACCTCTACCTCTGTATTTTATTCTCTGCACCTGTTCTAACACCTGATGAAATTTTCTACGATAGAAGCCTAGCCAACAGATTCAAAGCTATTCAGAGTTGGTTTGGAAAGGCTGTCACTCCTGTCTTAGCAGTAGAAGATGACAACATTTCTCAAAAAGACTCTGAAATGATAAAGTTTGAAGCCCCTGCATGTAGGGTAACCGTACTGCAAGTCACATTTGCTTTTAAAACTCCCAGAAGGTTTGATATCACTTTGAACTATACTATTAGATTCCAGTGTTCTCCTGGAAATTTGCTAGGGAACCTCTGAATGGACACCACTGTGCAATACAGATGGCTTTTATTCCTTCAGGTCAACATTCCTTTTGTCAGTTACTTCTTTTCCGCCCCTATAGAATGTCTCTTTCGGGATCTTGAACATTCCCCATTACTCTCAATTTGCACCAGCTCTCTACTCATGTATCATCGAGATTAAGGGGGTATAAAACTAGATATACCTGCCTGGGTTAATCAGGACCATGCCTAAACCCAAGAAAGTAATCCTCAAATTCATAAATACAAGGGCATGTTAAAATGTTTAAGGGAAAATGGAATTAAAATCTAAGTTCACTTTGGAAAAATCTGAAATACTCACATAGTTCTATGAGCTTTTTGTTCTGATTTGCTACATGCTACCAAAAAACAAGAAAAATAGTCCAAAAGACAAGAGTTTAGGAAAATTAGTAAAAGAATAGATTTTTGCCTGGGTGAAGTCCAGATAATTTCTTTTCTCTCAAAATGTTTTGGTGTCCTAGGGGCTAAAGTCCTTGCCTTAAATGCACAGGGATCCCATATGGGTGCCGGTTCTAATCCCGGCAGCCCTGCTTCCCATCCAGCTCCCTGCTTGTGGCCTGGGAAAGCTGTCAAGGATTGCCCAAAGCCTTGTGATCTTGCACCCATGTGGGAGACCCAGAAGAAGTTCCTGACTCCTGGCTTCAGATCAGTGCAGCACCAGCCGTTGCAGTCACTTGGAGAATGAATCATCATAAGGAAGCTCTTCCTCTCTGTCTCTCCTCCTCTCTGTAAATCTGACTTTGCAATAAAAATAAAATAAATCTTTTTAAAAAATGTTTCAAATACCTCACATCTTAGCTTAACAGCTAGACATCTCAGTCAAAGCCACAAGATGACACAGATTTCCACAATGATGTACTGAAAGCTACCCAGTGATGCTACTTATAGAAGGTCTTCCCATTCATTAATTATATGTTATTTTGAAAAGCTTCTCATGGTTCATGTTGTTTATAAAATTGTGGTTATTTTATTAAAAATAAGATCTATTTTCTCTTCCTAATCAGTATGCCAATTTTAAATGACTTTTCAGTACCCAAGGAGGATCTAGAGTCACCCATTTATATAAAAATTTTATAACCAATTCCCTCTATAAAGGGTGTAGCATTTGTAGCTAGTCTCTGCACATTGTCTGAAATTCAATAAACAACCTCTAGATTACTTATGAGAACCAATGCAATGTAATGCCATGGTCACAGTTGCTATACTCTATCATTAAAAGAAAAATGACAAGAAAAAACGTCTGTAAACATTCAGCAAGGGTACCACCATAGCAGGCCTAAACAGAGAGCAGGCTTTTTCACATTGGTTAAATTCAATTTCTCTCCTTTTTTAAGACTAATGTAGTTGATTTTATTTTTTAGGGGAAATAAAAGATGCATTTATTTACTTGATAGAGTCACAGAGAGGGAGAGGTAGAATAATATCTTCCATCTGCTGATTGGCATCCCAGATGGCCACAAGAAGTAGAGCATGGTCAGGCCAAAGCTAGGAGCCAAGAGATTCTTCTGGGTCTCCCATGTGGGTTTTAGGGGCCCATGCACTTAAGCCATCCTTTGCTGCCTTCCCAGAACATTAAAAGGGAGCTGGATTGAAGTAGAACAGTCAGGACTCAAATATTGGTGCCCATACAAGATGCTATTGTTATAGACAGCAACTTTATGCTCTGTAATACAACATGCCGCCACCCCGCTCCGCTTCGTAACTCCCCATCTCCAGCCAACTGATTTTTTTATTTACATCCAATCCACCACAATTTAACTTCTATTTCCTGTAGAATGCACCTGTTTGAAGCTGGGAGGAGAAGGGACTCCTATAAAAGAAAAAGTTCACAAAGGCATTGCTACTCCTGGCTCTCAAGAAACACTAAGCACAGAGGTTCTCCATAAATGCCATGCCCAAGCAAACATTAGGAATTGAAGTCTAAACATGAATAAAAAAAAAAAGGAAAACAGGGATAAGCCTTTCACTTACCTTTCCTTAAAGTAAGAATAGCTTCTTCTTCTAGCCACGGTCCCCAGAGGTTTGCTACCGCATCATACACTTTACTAGTGGCTATAGGCAGTTGATCCTGGCCACATAACAATATAATCCATTGAAACATCAGCGACAACATAGAGCAACGAATTGAAGCAATAACTACTCTGTTAAGCATAGGTAGATATATGGAGGCATACTAAAGAGGTTAAACTTTACAGAGTTTATCATTTGGCAGGGAGCAAAATATAATCAGATAAACTGTAAAACAGTGTGCAAGGTGTTACTACAGGAGGCCAGGAACACAGAAGCAGGCAGAAGCAAGTCAGAGTGCAAAAAGAAAGACAGTATTTGAACATAACCTCGAAAGTTATTTGATCAGGTTGGCAAGAAAGGTCTTCAAAGTAAAAGCAATGGCCTATAAACAGAGCCATGAAGACTCATTCTTCATACGCTAGTGTTAACGATAGGGACATGGTAAAGAATGAAGATGCAGTGTGATCATTGAAGAGATATTGAAAGCAGATTTGAGCCTGAACATATGTGCCAAAGGAGTGGGGAAAACTCCATCACTTTAGGATTTAACATTGCCCTGGAAAATGTAAAAACTACCATGAACTTTCTTAACCCCTTGAATGAAGATTTACAACCATGTGATTTGGATTTAATGAATTTCTTCATAGTAGCATGTTATATCACTGTTCTGATTTTTTAAGAAAGCATTATAAATCACCAATTTTAATTATACTTTATCTACTCATCATATTGACTTATCATAATATCAGAATAGATCATTATTTTCTGGCCAGCACCTGGCATAACAGGCTAAGCTTCTGCAGCCCTGGCATCCCTGTCGGCACTGGTACTAGCCCCCAGCTGCTCCACTTCCATCCAGCTCCCTACTTATGGCCTGGAAAAACAGTAGAAGATGGTTCTACTCTTTGTGTCCCTGCAACCACCTGAGACACGTGGAAGAAGCTCCAGTCTCCTGCCTTTGGATCAGCTGAACTCCAGCTGTTGCATTCATTTGGAGAATGAACCAGCCAATGAGACATTTTTTTCCTCTCTCTCACTCTTTCTCTCTCTCCCCTTTTTGTGTGTAACTCTACCTTTCAAACAAAAGTAAAATAAATTTTAAAAACATGACTGATAACCTTTCTTCATGGTGATAGAAGCTCTAAAGAAGCAAAACTAAAAAATAAATATTGAATAAATATTTAGAAATAATTTACAAAATTGAATAATTACTTTCTTTTAAAAGATTTATTTATTTGTTTATTCAAATGGCAGAGTTACAAAGAAGAAGAGGTAGAACAAGCAATTAAAAGAGATCATTCATCTGCTGGTTCACTTCACAAATGGCCGCAGTGGTCAAGGCTAGCCAAGCTGAAGCTGGGACCCAGAACTTCATCCAGGTCTCTCAAATGGATCACCATAACCCACTTGCTTGGGCCACCTTTTGTTACTTTCTCAGGCATCTTGGCAGGAAGCTAGATAGGAAGTAGAGCAACTGTGACATGAACAAGTGAGCAAATGAGATGCCAATATTGCAGGTAGTGGCTCAATCAACAGTGCCACGATGCCAGCCCCTGAATAATTATTTATAATTATTACCTTTAAATTTATGTTTAAAAATACAATTATTTTGTTTGCTCTCTTTTTTTCCCATTCTGTATATGAGTGATACAAATGTATTTCTTAGAGGTGTTTTCTTGTCAACATTTATTAAAATACTTAGTGACTTTTCAAGTTACATTCAAGGAAAATGCAAATAAGTAGGGAATTGATTGTAACTAATTCTCAAAATAAGATATAACTTTCTCTCAGATTTTAGGTTAACTGAATTGTATAGTAGCTTAGGCCAATCTACATTCAAATTAAGCATTCTAACACAACAAACCCTCCATATCCCTGTGGATTCAATAAACCACATTCAGAAAAAGAGATATCTGCACTAAATCTGCACAAAACTTTTTTCCTTGTCATTATCATCCAAACAGTATACTACTATTAACATAGCATGTACCTTGCCCTAGTTAGCATGAGTAGACTAGAGATTATTTAAAGTAAATAAGAGAAGATGCATAGATTATCTCTAAATACTGTCTAAACTTAAATAAAGGGCTTGATCACTGACAGATTTTGGTATTTTTGAGGATCACTGAATTAATTCTTCATGGTTATGGTGAAATAATGGTATAATAATAACAACAGAAGTCACTAAGATTTCGATTTGTTCACTTTGGGTTGGGTGCCAAATTATGGCACAGTATGGCAATGCAGAATCCTCAAATTATACAAAAATCACTGGAGACTTTTCTATCTTAAAATGAGAAATATGAGCAAGTTAGATGATTTATCCAGGAAAAAGTGACCAGTATCAGGGGCTAATTCCTAGGAATTTCCACCATCAGTTTTCACATCCAAGTATCCATTGTACAGGGCTATCTTCTCAATCCATTTTGATTGTGACATGATCACTTGCTCAGAAATGCAGTACAATTGGAAGCAACCCATTCGAAAGCTTGATGGCACCATCCTGCCAATGTAGGAGTAAATGCAGGTTTCTAATCCAGGTTACTTCCTTGAGTGGCAACAGGAAGAATGCCCTGATCTAACAGGTGGCACTGTACACACATGTCTATGTAGCTATGATGCAGATTTACGAGCTTCTAATGTAGAGACAATATTTAGCAAATATATTCATTCACAATGTCCTTCAGAATTAGATCCCAGATAGCAATCTTCAGGAGAATGTGTAGCGAGGCTTTCATGGCATATTGAACATTTCTGATATTGTAAAGTAGAATCACAGAGTAGCAATTTTCAATATGCAAAAGCACAAGCTTGAAAGAAAAAAAACTAACTGCTTAATGTATACATATATGCTGGGGCCAGCTCTGTGTGAAGCCTCCGACTACCACACTGGAATCAAATATCAAGTGCATCTTTGAGTTCAGGCTGCTCCACCTCTGATTCAGTTCTCTACATTAGGCACCTGAAGGCAATGAAAGCTGATTCAGGTACTTGGAACCCTGCTACTCATGTGGAGAGCAAGATGCAGTTCTAGGCGCTTAGGTTCAGCCTGGACTACCCCTATCCATTGAAACCATGTGAGGAGTTAACCTGTAGATGGAAGATCTCTTTCTCCCTGCCTCTCCCACTCTTTCTGTCACCTGCCTTTCAAATAAGTAAAATAAACATAAGAAAAATAAGGTATGTGTGCTGCTTTATTTACTTCAGCAGTACATATCTGAAGATATATTACAGAAGCTTCACAGTATATAAAGCTACGAATTGCTATAAGATTTCACTAGATAAAAAGAAAAGATAAAATCACACAAATCCCAAAGGAGTTAGGAAAATGTATTCTGTGCCACTTACCTAATACTTAAATTACTATCATTCTATTTATTGATAGTTTATTATGTTCCAGATACAAGGTATACTCTCGTAACTTAGAATTATAGTGCTCACAAAAGTTGAAAGGCATGCACTTACAAATGAGTAAGCTATGGATCAGTAACATTACGCAGAATTCCCTAGGATGGTCAAGTTATAAAGCCAGGAAGGGGATTTAAACATCTGTGACCATAACAGTAAAATCTATGTTTTCTACTTTATGAGTCTGTAGATTGTCCTCACACCTTTGCAGTATGTAGGCAAACATCTCCATTGATAAAGAGCCTGACTCCCATCTTAGTCATCTCAAATTAGAGGCCAAAAATTCAATTGAAATCTAAGATTATAGAATTTTCCAGAATCGCTTATCCAGTTAAATTAACAAATATGAAAACCCTTATGAAGCATCCATTTTATATGAAATGGAAAAGGTGTTTGAAACAAACAGAAAAATATGGACAAAGTGAAGATCATGGGAAATATTGCATATGTTCTTCGGCTAAAGCAAGGAATCTATGAAAGGCTCCCTGTGAAGGGGGGTGATTAGAGCCAGAATACGGGATCTGCCACTGGGTGCCTGTGAACAGTCGGACAAGCAGCTTGACAAATTCTGAGTCTTACGTTGACATAGATGAGGGACCAGCAAACTCTTCCATAAGGCAGAAAAATATGCATTTCAGCCACATGGGCCATTTGGTCTCTGTAATAACTATTCTACTTTGCCATTATAGCACAAAGCAGTCATTGACAAGACAGAATGAAAGAAAACACAGTTGTGTTTTAATTGATCTTGACTACAAAACTTGCCACTGCGCCAAATTTGGATCACGGACAACAGTCTACCAAGTCTTAGATGAAATAACAACCTCTATGATCTTTTGATTCTATATAAATCGAAGACTGTGCACTATTATACCAATACTCAGTAACCAGGACTGGTTTCCAGCTCTAACACATAGGTTGCTTAATAACAGCCAGTCTGGTTACAGCCAGGGCTATAACAGACATTAAATAATTTGAACACACTTTCTGTCTCGAATCACATCTCACTTTTTTTTTAAAGAGTTACAGAGAGGGAGAGAATCTCCAGCTGCTGATTCATTCTGAAATATGGCTACAACAGCCAAGGCTGGGCCAGGCCTAAGCCAGCAGCCAGAAGAGTCACTGGGTATCAGACAGGGAGGGGTTCCATGTACTTGGGCTATTCTCTGCTGCTTCCCCAGGCACATTATCAAGGACCTAGAGGGAAGTGGAATAGCCAGGACTTGAATGGGCACCGAAATGCTATGCTAGCAGTGCAGATGAAAGCCTAACTCACTGTGCCACAATGCTGGCTCATACCTCATTTAAGCAGGCCAGACTTGAAGACCATTCTTGATTCTTATGGTAATTTGCTATATTTTATCTTAATCATGATCTAGCTTAGCTCTGAGTACAAATGTCTAAATGTCTAACACAAGCTCTGGGAAATCTAAATATTTCTCTGTAGCAACCTTCCTTGCTAACTTTGTCCAAGAAAATGCAAACGAAAAAGAAAATTATTTGAAAGAAAGAGAAATTAAGGGATATTATGACAGAAAGCAGGAATTAGCAATCTCTAATCTTAATGATTTGCCTCAGATAACTCATCATTGATGTAACCTTTTATAAGGTATTAAAAGAACCTTTATGAAGTTCCCAAAGCAGCTTTCTTTTCTCAGTGGCTAGTATGAATGGCACATCCTTCCTCAGGGAGACTTATTCCAATTCCCCACCACTGGCTAATTCGCAATAATTTTGACACTATGTATGGGAAATAGCATTAAATCACTTTTGAACATTAATGTCAAATTTACCTGTGGCCAGTAGTCATGATTACCCAGTGCTGGGAAAACCTGGAGGTCTGGGAAGAGGCTCTGGACCGTGATTGTCATATTTGCAATCACATTTATGACCATGTCTGTTGACAGTTCAGGTACTGGAACATGAGGCGGGCTGTCCCTGAAAAGGAATAAGAATTTGTAAAGAACATTAGCAAGTTTTATAAAGACTCACTGGACTTAAAACATGATTTATTGCTATATTAATCATTACAGATTTCCATATTAAAATAAGAGATTATTGTTAAAGATTCCACGTGGGCTTTTGTTTTACCCTTCTCCCCAAACAGTTCTATACCAAGAGAAAAGTCATTGCAATACAAAATACAGTCTGGAAATCTCAGCCTATTTCACTTTCTGAATGAAGATGTGTGAGAGGCAAAACAAACAAACAAACAAACAAAAACTTCAGTAATCAGAAGAACAGATTCCAAAGCAAAATGCATATTCAAATCTTAGCATTCTCAATCACTGCAGAAGGAGAAGAACAAAAATCTTCATAATAAGGATTAAATAAGTTGCTATATAAATATAAGTACTTAGGTAAAAGAATGTCTAACACAAAATACCCTTCAAATATTAGCCATGATAATCATTAAATCATTCCAGATTCAAGACATGTAGATCCCTTCACTCTATCATGATGAATGGAATTAATTTAATTATATCATTAGAAGATGATGCTTTACAAAACTGCCATTATAAGTTAGCGCTAATGGCCAGCTCAGTAGCACCAGCATCTCGTATGGGCATAGTTCAGGTCCAGGCTGCTGCACTTCTAATCCAGCTCCCTGCTTGTGGCCTGGGAAAGCAGTAGAGGATGTCCCAAGTCCATGGGACCCTGCATTTGGGAAGACCTAGAGGAAGCTCCTAACTCCTGGTGTTGGATTCAGTTCTGGTCATTGCAGCCATTTTGGAAGTGAACCACTGGATGGAAGATCTTTCTCTATTTTTCCTTCTCTTTGTAAATCTGCCTTTCCAATAAAAATAAATAAATCTTTTAAAAAGCTACTTCTCACCTTGCCTTTTGTCTTTTTTAATCTGTTATCAAATTAAAACTGCTACAAGGTGTCATTTTTAAATTCATCTGTTAGCTAACAATAACTTATTTTTAAGCATATTTTTAAAGTTGACTTGTTCTTATCTCCAATAATAGTTGATTATTTCATCTAGAATGTTTAGTTCAAATAATTCTTAAAATATATAAAATCTTCTTATGGAGTTCAGCATTATACTGAAGCTTAGGTTATTGTAGGTAGATGCTCAGCAATTGATGGTGTTTATATAATCACTTACCCTGTCCATATCATGAAAGATGTTTCTTGTCTTGATTTTTTAATGAAATCAAATGCTGACAAAATGAGTTTATATGGAGAATCACAGAGAACATCCCCAAAAGGGCCAGGATTGGAGGCATTTGCGCCTTTGGATGAAGAGCACACCTTAGTGTGGTCATCGGTAATGTGGTAAGTAGGGTCCAAGTGTAAGTCAGTCACATGCCAAAACTGCCCTGTGGATTAGAGAAGAAATACTAAAAATCTGCTTCTCTCTTGGAATTCCCATCAACATGTTTACTATAAAATTGGAGGTAGCTGCTCCCTTTCTGAGGCAGAGAGTTACTGATGTGACGGTGCACGTGTCATGAAGCTGAGTACAGTCCTTCCTTGTGCAAAGCTGAGGATTCCAAGAATGTGCTACTTCTAAGTGTCAAAATCAACAAGCTCAGTATTAACCTGATAATCTAGCAAAGACCCTATGGTGAAGAAGTAAGAATCATAATTTTCATTTTAGAGTTGAGACATTAATAGTGCATCACTTAGGAAATTTACTCAGTACGCCAAACAGTAAATGGGAGAGCAAAGATCTGATTTCCTATTTTGAGGACCCCCATAATGTACACACATCTCTAATGATGTCGCATTTTCACAGACTTGTTACATTGTTTTGTTATAGAGATCACTTTCACTTTCAGTCTTATTCCACTCTGATTATAACTAATTTGCATCAGAAGTGGCACAGCAGCAAAGACTGTGCTAAAAACACAACCATGTAGAATTTAAATTTTTATCTTTGAAAGACAATAAAATCCAAAGCTGAAATAAAAAATTGGTAACAGTTGACTTGTTAAAAGTGGAGAACAGGAATTCTCTTGTAACTATTTTTTTCCAACACTGTTGCTACTACAATTTTATTATTATTCATGTAAGGTTGCATAAAAAAATTGTAGACCAAAACAATCCAATTAGTACAATTTGATTTGATTTACTCTGTAATGAAATAATACCCTATCCTTTATATCCTCTTTAGATATACTTTATCCGGGTAGGAGGACAACAGAAAACAAAACAAAATAAACCCCCTCATTTTCAGATTCATTTCTCCTACTGTACACTCACAACACACATCACTTCTAATCCCAAAGTTTGAAATTACATTCACGTGCCACACACACACACCCCAGTAAATAAGCAGATAATTCTGAAGTGGAAACCAGTCTGGTGTGATCTGACTCAATTCTGTCACTATGTACCTAGAAACAGTGTTAGATTTCATGGAGAGGGGCTCAGTCCCCAAGTCAGGCTCCCCTCACCTCCTACAGCAATTGAAAGCCCCAGAGTGACTTCTGACTGTCTGAAATGGGAGTTCCCATAGCATCCTCTCCCACTTCAATTAAAGGGTGTGCCACAGAATTTACCGGACACCAAGGCAGGAGATGAGTAGGGCAAAGGAAATAGTGGCTTTCAGACTCTCTCTGTGGGCGCTTCAGGATCCTGCTTGTATTCTGAAACCGATAAACTCTCAACACCCTCTCTTTGGGGACTGCATAGGCATGATTGCTTACAGAACCACTGCTCAGGGAAACCCAGCCAGCCCTGTGTGGCAGTTCTCGGAGTAAGAAGGAACTTAGGTTTGTCTTTCTCTGGCCCATCTTGAGACTTTAAAGGCAAGAGTCATGGAGAAAAAATAAATAAACAAAAGAATCAAATATCATCACAAAGCAAAGAGGCTCTACCCATTAATTCAGCTGAATGACCTTGACCATCTGTAAGAAAGAAAGATAACTGTGAGGGTTCAATGACTTAGTAGATTGAAAGCCTTTCAAAGGTATTTGTCACCTCCCAAACTCAAGGTTATATCTACCACTACTCTGTAGCTCCAAACATTAAATTTGAATGTGAATGTCCCCATTTTTGACCAGTAGTTAAAATTACTGGTATTTATGCCATGCTTTTTACTGTCTTTCTTTTATGTTTCACATTAATTAACACACTATTTTTTATATTCTACAGATAAGGATCAGAAGCACACATAGATTAAGTTCAAGTAGCACGCAAGGAGATTAAAAAAAATTCAACAAAGGAGCAGTTAGCTTAGTGGTTAGAAGACCTACCTCACATCCCATGGTGTCTGGTTTAATTCCCAGCTTAGACACCTGACTCCAGTTCCTCGTAAAGCCCTGGGAGGCAGCAGCAATTCTGTAATTCAGTTATTGCGACCACACAACAAATTCACATTGAGCTTTCGGTTCCTAGCTTTGATCATGGCTCAGCCTTGGTTGTTGGGGGCATTTGAGATTTGGGGACTGAACCCATGAATGGGATGGGTAGAGGGTTCTTTTTCTTTCTGACTTCCTAATTTTAAAAATTTATAAAAACAAATAACATGAAAACATTGTATGTGATTTTTGACATTATTTTGGCAATAAAATAAACATCTAATTACATTTTCACAAGGTTTTTGAAGTATGCTTGTATATCTAGGTTGCTAGAATTGTCTCATTCAACACAGCTCAAAAATGAATTCTAGAAGTCCTACTGCCAGGTCTATGTTGCCCTTGATAACTTCAAACGTTGTTCTCTGTGTGTTGTCACATTCAAGTAGTTTCACTTGCTTCACATGAAGGAAGCTAACGACAGTATCTGCATGTGAGATTATATGAGGATTAAGGATCCAAGATTATGAACATATTAAACTCACACAAACTAAAACTTGAAATGCCCGAGGGCACATCCCTCTGATATAATCTAAAATCTAAGTTTATCTCTTCATCATCTAGACTATGTGTGACCTACAGCAGGCCCTAAATCTTCTTTAATTTCTGTATGATGACATTTAGGCAAAGGGAGGTGTCAGGCTTTCCTCAGTAACGCATGACTCAGTAGTGAAAGCTGAGTGGAACCAGTCTCTCCAGACCTAGCGCGTTTGCTACTGTGTCTCTTTGCCAGACAAATGAGGTGGTAGACACTGAGTGTCATTGAAGGATGTCATTAAACACAAGTCAAGAACAGATCCTGACAGCTTCTTAAATGGAGATGAATAAACAATGAACTCTCTGGAGGCCTCATCGGTCCTCCTGATGCAACAGGATACAAAATGCTGTGTTTGTGCACAGGTATGTGTGTGTGAGAGAGAGAGAGAGGGAGTACATATTTTCAAAGTAGCCCTGGCCTATGGCAGAACCTACACACACTCCAATCCTTTTCTCTGGTTTCCACATTTTAATTTATTTTAACTATTACACAATTACTTTTTATTCTGCAAACAGGCTTTAAAAGGATCCCCCAATGTATGTATATGTAAGTGTTTAATCATGACAAATACTCAAAATGATACAAGAATAACTATAAGTCAAAGAAAATGGGGCTGAACTTGGGTACAAAATCCCACATCTGAGTGCTTAGCTTCAGCTTTATTTCCGGTTCTAGCTTCTGCTAGTGTACATCCTGGAAGGTGGGAGATGATGGCTCAAGCACTTGGCTCCCTGCCACACACATGAGTGAGCCAGAAGACAAGTAATGGCATATCTAACCCCTCTCTGTTTCTCTGTGTTTCTGTATGTTCAGCTCTACCTCCAACCCTGTACATCAGTTTTTCAATTTTTTAAATTATTTTTTTAAGATTAGTTATTTTTATTTGGACAGCAGATGTTACCTAGAGAAGAGACAAAGAAAGAGAGATCTCCTATGCGATGACCTACTCCGCAAATGGTTGCCTCAGTCAGGACTGAGCTGACCTGAAACTAAGAGCCAGGAGATTCTTTGAGGTCTCCCACATGAGTACAGGGGCCCATAGGTGTGGGCCATGTTCCACTATTTTCCTAAGTCATAAAAGGGAATTGGCTTGGAAGTGGAGCATCCAGAACATGAGCCAGGGACCTTATGGGATGCCAGTGTCTCAGAGACTTGCCTACTGTGCCACAGTGCCAGCCTCTAAATTACTTTTAAATGAGAAAAACATAATTTGTGCCAAAGAACTCATTGGACCACAGCTTCACTGCTTTGACATAGAGGTGTTCTTTAAGTACGCACTTATTTGTTTATAATGCAGATACTCACTTACCGAGTACAGCCACCCGTCTGAGCATACTAAAACTAAACCACTGTGACCAAACACTCGAAGTTGAGAATGCAAAGACACAAACACAGATCAAGTAGGCAGAAACCACGCATGGTGGCCAAAGTCAAAGCAGTCTGAGTGTTGGTGGTGCCAGGGAGGGGAGCAGATGGAATAGTCCCATCAAATGGGAGTTGTGTGAAATGACATACAACGAGAAACTGTTGAATCAACATTTCAACTAGGCCTTTGAACTCTAGTTCCCACCCCCTCTTCCTCTTAAGCAGAAGTTGATGGATCCCTGCAGTCTCCCTACCAAGGCAGGGAGGCGCAATGTGCAGAATCACATGGCCCAGAGAAAAGATTCGTGGAGACGCCCAGCAATCACACTGAACTGGATATTATTCATCGGGCCCAGGCAACCTAACGTCGTACCTCAAAATCCAAATGGATACTGAATGAAAGTAGTGCAACTACAGCTCTAATAAAAGCATAAACCAACAAGTACAAACATTTTGGGGCTAATTTCTTCAGAGTGACATTGGTTCAGTTGGGAAACAGGATTTATAATCCTTGCTAACTGCCTGAGAGCTGAGTCACTTGGACTTGGCTCTCTGGCAAAAAGGCATTTTTCCTCCTGGCTTCCCAAAGACCAGTGAGAGAGCTGGGATTGACAGGATGAGAATGAGAGTGGGGATGGGAGAGAGAGAGAGAGAGAGAGAGTGAGAGAGAGAGAGAGAGAGAGAGAGAGAGAGGTTTCAGTAAAAAGTTCCCATTTGGTTTCAGGGAAATTTATCCTTCCAAAACAAGAGATCCTCCTTTCCTTTCCCCCTAATAAAGTAATCATTTTTAAATACAACAGAGGAGATGTGGGGGAGGAGGCTTAGTTTTGAAACTGATGATTCAGCTGACATAGTACACTCTCATCAAATGATCTACTTGGAATCAGAGATTCTCAAACTTTAGCCCCTATCCAGAATCATCTGTGGCCTGGGGTTAAAGGCTGGAGTCCCAGCTGCTCTGATTCCCATTCAGCTCCTTGTTCATGTCCCTGGAAAAGCAGCAGAAAGTGAGGATTGTCCAAATAGCAGGGCCCTGGAGTGAGCCAGCAGAAGGAAGCGCTCGTTCTCTCTCTCTCTCTCTCTTTCTTCCCCTTTCCTACCTCACCTGCCAAATAAATAAGTAAATACATGCATGTCAAACAAAGTGAATCGTCTTAAGGGTTGGTTAGACAGCAGATTATTGAACCATGCTCAGCGTTTCAAATTCAGTAGGTCTGGGGTGGGGCTGAACTCTTCATTTCTGACAAGGTTAGCTACTGCCCTTAAGACTTTGAAAACCACTGCGTGTAACAGAAACTGCGTGAAGTGTTGGGAACAAAACCTGGACACCATCACAGGGAGCCTAGGGGGGCGCCTGACACCCAGCTCCCCAGCCGCTTTTTTTTTTTTTTTTCCGTAAAAAATATCTGCAGTTTTTCCTTCCTTCCAGCAGGAACACCACAAACAGGAGGAGTGTAAAGCAAAGCCCAGCTGGCGGGATCCCTTGGAGCGCCCCCACCTGCGCTCTCCGCAGTGGCTTTACCCAGCCCAGCCCCCACGGCTTCAGTGTCCAGGCCCTCGCTCGCCCCGCGTCCAGCAGCCACGGCCAGCGCCGCGGCGTCAGCGTCCCAGCCCGCCCGAGCTGGCCCACGCTCGCTCTGCACTGGGCGCCTCCCACGCCGGGGTGCAGGCAGGGCCGGGCGCCCAGCACTCACCCACCGCCGGAGCCGGACCCTGGCGGCCAGCGGGCACCAAGGGCAGCCCGTGGCCCGGGCAGACCCGCCAGGCCGCCAGCAGGGAGCACACGAGCACGCGCAGCAACGCCATGGCCACTCTGACAGCTGCCCCGGGACCGTCAGGGGGTGGGAAGCAGGCCAAAGACGGATTCGGGTATAGACGCCCAGTCGGTCACGTGTCGAGGCCGGTTCCTCAGCTAGCCGATTTGCCTGACCTTGGGCTGCTTCCCGTGTAGTTATCACCCTTATAGTTTCTTAACGTCAGTGACAGGCCTGTGGAGGAATATACTCTTGGGCCAGCTTTAAACCGAAGGCGATTCGGGGAGCACTGGAATGTGCTCTGCAGGAGAGCCGCAGCTTAGGATGGCACACTAAATGTTAAAATTGTACTTTCTGGACCACCAATGCCTGCACCACCGAGGAAGTGAAGTTAGAAATGCAGATCCCCAGGTCCCACCCCAGCTCTGCAGAATCAGAAACTGTGGGGGAGGAGCCAGCAAGTTGTTTTCATTAGCCTTTCAGGAGATGTTTGAGAAGCGCTGCTGGATACTCCAGCTGGGTTGTTTTGGGTTTTCTACAACTGAACTAGAATTTAACTAGAATCATATACTGCATTACAGAAATGAATGAATAGTGTAAACAGAGTCAGCTGATTCACCCTAACAGGGAATTTTTAAAGATCCGCTGGGGAAAAAGCCAAAGCTGCAGTCAATCACGCTGACTGTACCTACTCTCTCTGACCTGTTTAGGAGAAAGCTAACAGATTCGGTGTGTAAGCTACGTAGTTCCTTCAGAGAAGAAAATACCTTCGGCAATTACTAATCTCATGAAAGTTGTGGTACAGTGCACGTCTAGTCGCTTCCCATTAGAGAGAACTTTATTCTGTTTGCTATGATTTAATGGGAGTGTTTCTCAAGAAAGGACCTTTGAAGTGGGAATTAAGACGCCTCCCTGTTGTGTTTCAAGGGCTGCCAGGGCAGCAGCACTCAGGGCATGTCAAGAATCAAAGCTGCTTCAGATGATGGACATTAGGGTTCTTGGGAGATTCTCAGTCCACAGTCTAGAGTATGGGGGAAATGGAGCAAGAAAAAAAAATTAGTGAGTGAACCACTGTTAGGGTAGCAAAATTCCATAGGGTTCTGATCAAAGCATTTAGAAAACAGTAAAAGGATAAACTTTAAAGATGGCTGTTTTCATTCACCTCCCACTCAATTTCCAATGCCTTTACTGGAAGTAAATATTGTGAAATATGATTTAAAGCGATTTGGCATAAGATGAGCTATACAAACCTTGAAACCTATGAAATGTTCGCAGTCAGTGCTAGAAACACAATGCATTAAAATGAGTAGAAACACTTCTTACCTTATCCTCACTCTGTTTTCCTTTCAAACCACCCTGCTGCATGCACGAGGCTGAATGTCCCGGTCTCTGAAGGTCTGCTTCAGCCCTGCACCCAGCACTTCAGGTTCAGATGGTCGTGTTCTGGATACATGTGCATGACCAGTTAAAGCAAAGTGTGTGTCATTACTGCAGAGTTCCTGCTCCCTTCTTGTCAGAGATCTGTTACTGAAGGGCACAAGACTGCTTTTTACCCTGGTTTGAATCTGAGACCCTGAACTTCCAAAAATGTTTTAACAAGGGATGTTCATTAAATTGCTTTTGGTCATAGTAGTTCTTTTTTTCCTTCTTAATGTTAAAAGCGGGACAGTACAGGAGGGACAGCTCAAAATTAGCCCATTGACAGATGAGACATAGTTCAGCTTGATGGAAAATTATTTGCAGCTACTTATAGAAATGTAGAAAGAAAAAAAATATTGTCTTCCTGGGTTCTTTTCCATTGCAAAGATATTTTCCATTTAAGCCATCCAGAAAACTTTGCAGTCTTCACTCTTGGAGATAGTTGTTCGGGAAACATATGAATTAAGTTCATATGAAGAGGTGATTTGGTCTTAGTATAATGAGTAAAGGAGAGATCCCCTTCTTGGTTCTGGCTTTTATAACACAAAAGGCAGAATTAGAGCTTCCACTAGAGCACAGGATTAAGTCACCAAGGAGGAAGGAGCTTCTCACAAAAGCAGAATGGGTGGCTGCCAGAGCCTTGAACCAAACCCAACACTGCATTCTCTTAAAGGAGCATAGACACTACACCCTAATGGCGGCAGACAACTATTACACTTACTGGATGGTGTAATTAGCCTATGCATGTTTTATCCTATAACTTTAGATTTTTCTTTGCTTTAGTACGATACAATATAGGTTGAATATCCTTAACCCTTATGATTTAAAATTTCCCCAATCCCAAACTTAGGAGTGCATGAAGAAAGAAATTCTACTTCTGACATTTTTGATGGATACCAGCTAAAACTCAGAGAGAGAAACAATTGTATAGGATATGTGCATATGTGTATTAAAAAATAAATGACTTGGGCCCGGCGCGGTGGCGCAAGTGGTTAAGTCCTCGCCTTGCAACCCCGGGATCCCATATGGGCGCCGGTTCTAATCCCGGCAGCCCCGCTTCCCTTCCAGCTCCCTGCTTGTGGCCTGGGAAAGCAGTTGAGGACGGCCCAAAGCTTTGGGAACCTGCACCCGCGTGGGAGACCCGGAAGAGGCTCCTGGCTTCGGATCGGCATAGTATCGGCCCGTTGCGCTCACTTGGGGAGTGAATCATCGGACGGAAGATCTTCCTCTCTCTCTCTCTCTCCTCTCTCTGTATATCCGCCTTTCCAATGAAAAAATAATAATAATAAATCTTTAAAAAAAAAAAAAAAACAAATAAAAAATAAATGACTTTATATGTAAACTGGATTCTTGCATAGGCAGATATTCTGAAACAGAGAGCACTGATGGGATCAAACATTTTAAATAAGGAATATTCCACCACAACTGCCATGAAAGTGGATTATTGAAGAAGTTAAAACAAGTTTTCTCATGTTTTATACCTGTAAGCTAATTGAACCTTGGATCAACTTGTAAAATTTATTCAATTTACTAAGTTGATTAAAAATAAATATTGTATGGTGAGTGAACCAATCACTGGGAAGTGAACCAACTACTGTAAGATATCCCTCTCTCTCTGTCTCTCCTTCCCTCTCTGTACAGCTATGCTTTTCAAACAAATAAACATTTTAAATAAATAAATATAATTAGTATTTAAGCAAGGTATTAATTCTCCAGTGTCTCTATATGAAGAGGTTAGCTATTTTACTTAAAACTCCCCAAAAGACAATTCCTAGCCATATTAATGATATAAACAGCACACAATTATATGAACATGTAAAATCTTTATTCCAAGCTTTACATTACACAAATGTGCAATGTTTTCAATTCTTTATAAAAAATGAATTTACAGTTTGATTCAAATTACAAACCATGATATATTCACATATCAAAACTGGGCTGGCTGCTAGGAGTAACAAGTTTTTAAATCACTACTTTCCACCTCCACACCAAAGTGAACCTTGCAATTAGGGATCAGCTCTGCTGTAACAGGAGGACAGCACTGAGCCTCGAGAAGAGAAACATGAGAAAAGTTTCCAGCTCACAATGAGGAACTTTCTATGCCTTCTCATAGTGACGAACAGCAACGACATCACCAAAAGTAAGAGTCTGAAAGATCCAAAAGATAATGAAACCTTTCAACATTGGTGTATCGGTACTGAATTTTCAATGATTATCTCTGACAATGGCTAAATCAAGGCATAACTTCTTGCTCAATTTGTGGTGCTACTCTGTTATAAGAGAAAATTTTTGGCAGTTATTTTCTAAGTTATTTATTTATGCCTTCCTCATATGAAATATATATCTTAAAGGCAATTTATACATTGAAAGAAAAAAGATGAATGGAATGAAGTAATTTCAAAGTAGTTATTCTATCAAGGCAGGCATCTGGTGTAGGCAGTACTATACCAGTTGGGAAGACTATGTCCCATGCCAGAGAGGGCATATTCTAGTCCTGGTTCCTTTTTGGGTTCCAGCTTCCTGCAAATGTATACCATGGGAGACAGGCGGCAGTGGCTCTGGTTTTTAGGCCCCTGCCACATGGAAGACCAGGACTGAGATTTGGTTCTTGACCTTGTCCTAGTTCCAAGGCCCATCCTTGTTTTTAAAGGCATTTGGGGCATGATCCACTAGATGTCAGCTCTCTATCTGTTCTCTGTCTTTAAACATAAATAAATGAAAATAAATTGAAAATTATTCTTTCATGAGAAATAAAATTTTTAGTTCTTTTCTCATAGCTGTCATATTTTAAATTATGTATATTGAACTTATATAGCCTTCATGTTAAAATTTTACAAAATAAAAAAATATCTTATTTATTACAGAAGTGGTCCAATTTTCTTAGATTCAGTAAACTTTGTGTTATTTTAGGGTTGTCATTATGTATGTCATGAATATTAATTGTATTTTAAAATTTATTTTATAATAAGGCAACCAGAGTCATCCTACAAACTATTTGACAAATAATGTTGGGTTCATCAATGAAAGGAAATATTATTTAACTATATTAAGTTGGATTTTCTTCTTTTGGTGAAATCAAAGAAGCTGGGCTGAAAAAACAATTAACTAGGATCATTTCATTTCCCCTGTTTTGCAAATGCTTAAAGGATCTTCCTACTGACACCAAGTTATGACACAATAGCTGGAATAGGGTAAGAAAGAAGGGAGGAAGAGAGAAAATGGCATTACTTACCACAATCATCTTGCCATCTTTAATTTCTCTTACAAAAACTGTTTGTTTACCATCCCATTTCTGTACATGAACAAGTTTGTCTCCATTCAGGCTAATAACAGACTGATACCAACAGCAAGATGCAGAACAAAACAAGTACAAATTAGATTTCTGATACAAAACGTCAACGACATGTTTTTTGAAAGCATTGTACATCACTAAAACCAAAATCAATTCATTGATACCACTCCCTAGTTTCTTCTAGATACATTAAATTCTAATAATGTAAATTCTAATAATCATAATCTGAAATATATACATCGAGATGTGAAAACATCATAGAGTAGAAACAAAAATCCCAAATCAACGCTTGCTGACAATTCATCTTTTTTCTGATTTAAGCAAAATCAAAGAATAAGGCAAACTATAGTCAGCATTTAGGGTGCAAGGAAACTAAACAAAGGGTGATTACACTTTCAAATTAAGTACTTTCTGAATTATAGATTTGAAGTACTACAAAATAGACAAATGCACAATAAAAGAATTGAAATTAGGGCTTTTCAGAATCTGACACATACATACTAGAATGCTAATGCTGGATCATTCCTTGAGTTGAAAGTGCAAAACAGTCTCCATTTTCCAAAATGTGAAAAAAAAAAAAAACACTGGGAATCCTCATCTTTTACCTCTACCTCCCATCCCAAACCCAGAGAAATAGGAGCTTCTTACCTTACAGTTTCTGTCATCTACAGTGAGTTCATCAAACTCTTGACCCAGGCGAAAGCTAATCTCTGTGTTCTTGAAAGTGCTTTGAGTCCGGATCACCACTTTGTCTCCTTCTTGACTGATAATCACTGTTGGTTTGGTCACATTTCCCACCTGCCTGGTGGCAAAGCCCACACCTAAAACAGCAAAGGCAAGCATGAAAGTCAACAGCAACTTGTAAGATTACTCACAAAACAGAAACCTTCTGGAGCCTGGTACCCAGATGCCACAGGGCATTTTCAAGAGAGCGTGATTATTGGGGCAATCTTGTCTCAAAGGTTCATGATCAGTCCACTATTCCTGCACTACCACTGCTGAGCACAAATAGTAACTGGAAGTTGAAGAAAACAGAAGAGTCACACAGGCTTCACATCCATAGACTATCAACTGCTCTGTTAACTTGGCCCTGGGCTAGAAAGCCAACAAATGCCACATTAAAAATCCATTCAGTGGCAAACCCATGGTGTAGTATCTGTTTAGGGCAATGTATTCAGTGTGTTGCCAACCTGAAGGAGGAAGAAAAAAAGAAAGAAAAAAGTTTGCAAGTGACTGAAGCTGCAGGTTAACAGCTTTATTTTCACCTACCGAGAGCCTTCATGTACTCATCAAAATTCTGACTGTCAACCAGCTTCCAGGTAGCACAGAAAGCCTCCACCATCCTGACCCTTTCCCCTTTGCTCTGACAAGAAACAGGATCTTCACCGAAGTCCACTGCAATGAGAAGACCCCTCACGCCTCAGCTGCAGCTCCTGTCTTCTTATTTGGAAGAGAATTGGGCCCAAAGCCAATGATTAGAATTGCAAACACACCGGGTCCGGCGTCCCTCTTTCCAGTAGGCTGTCGCAGGGGGAGGGGATGGAAAGGAAGACTTAAACTCTCTTCCTGATTGGCTCAGGCCACTGGGTTAGGAGAGTAGGTCGAGTTCCTCTCAGTCTGTACACAGCCATCCTCATGCCTGAGAAAGGTCTGCAGGGGTTGGATGAGGCTGGAGTCAGCAGAGGGAAAATGAGAGAGGGTCTTTCAAGTTCAGGGAGGAAAAAAAAAAAAACTTGGCAAAGGGCCTCTTTGACTGTGAGGACAGAATCAAGCTGCACAATAGGGCATTCAGATTGATTTCCGTTCAAGGCAGAGCTGCTTACAAATGAGGACCCCCTTAAAGAAAAGCACTAAAAGGGCAGACTTTTCACACAATAGCAGTTGAACAGTGACTTTGCTTTCTCTCATATTTACAGAGAGCGTAAAATGCTGGTTAGTTTGCCAAGCTGGAAAAGAGGGAAGAGATGTCAAGTTTTTCTCTCCGGGTACTGCTCCCAGGCTCCTTTGACAAGGAATCAACGGGAAGCCCATTCATCTTGGCCCCTTCTCATCACACCCTGAGTGAAATTTCAAGATCACTTTGTCCTTTCTAAGAATGTGAAAACCAGACCAGGATCAAAATGAGGCCCACGGAAGTGCATGGTAAGGATTCACTAATGAATGAGGGAAGGCTTTCTTTCCTTCCTTCTTCATTAAGAGAATCCATGTGAGAAAGCTGTGGCAGAAGATTATTTAATAAGATTTTAAATGAGTTGCATTAAATGCCCTTTGGGTGACCTGAAGCCAAATCTACATGAATACAGTCTGTGTACACGTTGAGATCCAGTGAAGAGAAGGGGTGGAGGGGAAGCAAGAATTAGAGGAGTGGGAATGAAGAGTCTTGACTTCAGTTTGTTTTGGCCCAGAATATCTCAAGAATGGCAGAATGCTTCTGAGAGTTTAGATACAGTATGTGCCCTTCCCTGAGAGGCTTCCAGATTTACAAAAGTAGATCTGCTGAAGAACATTGTTCCTGCCTCTCATGGGGTCGGAGGAAGGAATCTGACCTGGCAACCCCTGCTTTACTCCACCCCCCTTTCCCATTTAAACTTCAACCAGAACATTTCCACTTCTGTGCACAGCAGTCAAGGCTCAGAGCAAATCATATGCCAACTGCCAGCTACGTTACTTCTACCTCAAAGGTGCTTGTTGATTATAAACTCTTTACCTACACAGGATCTTCTTCCAATTCCCCCTATGTATTTGAATGACATCATCATTCACCCAACTGTACAAGACAGAAGCATTAGAATTGGTTCTAATACTTTACCCTCTAAAATCAAACTCAAGGTCAAAGCCTACCTATTTTGCTTCTTGCAATTTTCTCTTATTCGTCATGCTTTCCCCTTCTCTACAACTATTGTTTTAATTAGAGGAAACATTAGTTTTTACTAATTTCATGGCAACAGCTTTTTAACACTTCTTCTTCCAACCATGTCTGATCTCGAATTCTCTCACCACACTAGAGGCTCAGTGACTATTGATGCTGAACTACTTTCATGTGCTTTTCTACAATGAAGTGATTATTCAAATCTTTTGTCCTTTTTATTAAGTTGCTTGTCATCTTAAAAAAAAAAAAAACAGATCAATCTGAAAGGTAGAATTACAGGAAGTGGGTGTGAGAGGAAGACAGAGGTCTCCCAAGCTCTGGTTCACTCCACCTGTGGTTGCAATGGCTACACAGTTGGTCCAGTCCAAAGTCATGAGCCAGGAGGTTCTATCCGGACTCCCACATGGGTTCAGGGGCTCAACTATTTGAATAATCCTCCAGTTCTTTCCCAGGTATGTCAGCAGAGAGCTGAATCAGAAATGGAGCAAAAAACGCAGAGCCCATATGGGATGCTGGTACTTCAGACAATGATTTTACTGGTTCTTCCACAGTAACAACACGAGGTTTGTCTTCTTACTGCTGAATTTTTTAAGTGTTTCATGTATTCTAGATGAAAGTCATTTTTTGAATGTATTTTTAATAATTTCCATTTTTTTGACTGTGGTAAGTTTCACTGATGGATTGAAATGTATCAAATTCACACTAGATAAATGAAATTAATTGCATAAAAATCATACCACAATAAAACTATATTCAAAATATTTAGATTGGGGGGATGGCATAAGATGCAACAAGTTAAGCCACTGCCTGCAACACCAGTATCCCATACAGGATCAGATTTTAGTGTTTTTTTTTTTAAGATTTATATTTTTATTTGAAAGACATGGATGCAGAGAAAAAGGGAGACAGGAAGAGCTTCCATTCACTGATTCACTCCAAATGTGACTGTAATAGACAAGACTGGATGAGACTGAAACCAGGAAACTAGAAATCCATCAGGGTCTCTCTCTTTTTTAAAAAAAAAATTATTTTTATTATTTTTTTTTATTGGAAAAGCGGATATACAGAGAGGAGAGACAGAGAGGAAGATCTTCCCTCCGATGATTCACTCCCCAAGTGAGCACAATGGCCAGTGCTATGCCGATCCCAAGCCAGGAGCCTCTTCAGGGTCTCCCACACGGGTGCAGGGTGCCAAAGCTTTGGGCCGTCCTCGACTGCTTTCCCGGGCCACAGGCAGGGAGCTGGATGGGAAGTGAAGCTGCTGGGATAGAACCGGCGCCCATATGGGATCCCGGGCGTGCAAGGCGAGGACCTTAACCACTGCGCCACCGCGCCGGGCCCCAGGGTCTCTCTTGTAGAAGACAGAGGAACAAGTGACCAGGCCATCTTCTTTTCCTTTTGCAGGCGCATTAGGAGGGAACTGGACAGAAGTAGAGCATCTGGGACTTGTGTCCCTGTCCTTAAATCCTTATAAATGACTTCCCCTTGGGGCCTGCATGTGGTACAACAAATTAAGCCACTGTTTGGAATGCCAACATCCCATCTCAGAGCGCCAGCTTAAATCCTAGCTACTCCACTTGCCATGCAGTTCTGACAATGCACCTGGGAAAGCAGCAGATATTGGTCTAATCACTGGAGCCCCTGCTACTCTGTAGGAGACCCAGATGAAGTCCCTGGCTGCTCACAACCCCACACACCCACTTTTTCTCATCTCCCTTTCTGTCCATAGCATTAAGTAAGTAAGTAAATAAGCAAGTAAATAAATAAATAAATAAACCTAATAAAAAATTACTTAGTCTGCCTGCAGGATGAAAGATTCAAATTCCTAACACTACCAATCATAGCACCCCTCACTTGACAGTTGAAGGAAAAAGGATAAAAATCTAAGAGGAGATTCCACACCTCATGTCTATATGGTAAAAATTATAGATCAGACCATGCCCATTGTCTTGCTCAGGGTTGCAGCCAAAACTCAAAGCCAATTCCAGCTGCCTCCAGAAGGCCAACCTGTAGATATAAGCAGTAGCACAGATACAATGGGCCGAATAGCACAGAATATGGTCTGAAACATGGGTTTCCAGGCAGTGACTGAGAATTTCTGAACCTGAGATGAAGACTTGGGGACTGTGGTTGATGCTGTCATGACAGAAGCTTGAAGATGCCCTATTCCATCACAAGGAGAAGGCCATTGCCAACCCAGCAGAACTGAACCTTATGGAGTTACATCCTTCTGGCACTATTTAAGCCTTTGGGTCAAGTACCTAAAGAAAACCCACTGTGGAAATCAGTATGGAGAAAGCTTAGAGAATTGCACACAGGCCTACAGCATGACTCAGTTACCCTGCTCCTAGGGACATACCCAATGGTAATGAAAACTGCATATGAGAAGGGGATCTATAATCTGATATTTACAGCAGCATAATCTACAATAGAAAAGACATAGAGACAATCCAGATGCTCATCCAAAGAGGAGTGGTACATCTACTCCATGGGATATTACTCACCCTTTAAAAAGAATGAAATCATACCATTTGCAGCTAGACAGTCCCAACTAGAGACCATTATGCTCAGTGAAATAAGTCAATCCCAAAAAGACAAATATTGTATGTTCTCTAATATAAATAAACCATCTTGCAAATTGGAATCTATAGTGATGGAGTAATAGAGACTACCATATCCTAATGTGAAGACACAATGCAACATGTATTTCTATTTCCAAATCAAAGATGGACTCTGAATTAAACTGTTGGGTATATCTAGACAATGGGATGGTGGACTGTCTGATATTGTACCAGCAATGTTGGGGCGCATTTAAATAACAGACTGATGCAATTGTAACTCATTATGAATTGTAACTCCTTATGGTGAAAATCAGTGAGGGGGTGGGAATTGGTGGTGGGGGGAATCCTAGAATACAGAATTGTATCATCAAATTCAAAATTTTAAATAAAAATTTTAAAGAATCTTCACATGAGGCTGAATTTCTGGCATCTATATTATAACAGTCTTGTTTTTTTTTTTTTTTTTAAGAAAGCAACTGTTAATGAACTTTTAACATTGTTCTAAACATAAATGAACCAGTCAAGATTGGGATGCTACTTCTTATGAAACATTCCGGACTATGGACCAAGGTAATTTTAAAAACATTAAAAATATATGCTTTTAGTTCTTTTGGTAAATAAATTTCACAAAATAAAATAGTAATATGGATTCTATGCAATTGGAAATGGAATTTGATTATCCTATGAAGACCTATTGCCCGCACATCGCTATCCCATTATAGGTTAGCAGAAGATATGAGCTGATACCCTTTGCTAAAACATTGGTACAGGCATACTATCTCACCTGACTGCCCCCCACACATAGCTTCTATCATTCCCATCCCCACAAAAGATCAACCATCTAAATCAGCTCCTGGTACTTGCACACAGTAAGTTGCACACAGGGTTTAATGTAAAGTGTACAGTGGAATCTTATGTGGGGACAGGGGACATAGTAAATTATCTATATTTTGCTATGTGGTATTGTGAAATTTTTATCTTATTGTGCTTCCAAAAATGCAGACTGAACAAATGAGGAAATATATTTCCAAGTGCAGCACATTCTTGAAAAGAACCATTTTTGGAGAAGTGGCCATTTTATGTGAATTGTCTGACAGT